GCTGAACCCTTGATGACGGGCGAGGTAGGAGGTGAGGCGCCGGCGATGAGAGGCGAGGCATGACCCGTAACATCATGGACGGGCGAGGCAGGAGGTGAGACGCTGGTGATGACAGGCGAGGCAGCAGCTGAGATGACTGGCTGCTCGGCGGCAACGCCTTGCTGAGCGGCACTGAGAGGGACGAGACGCTCGATCTGGCTAGAGACCGCCTCAACAATGGCATCGAAGAACTCGTCGTCGCCATTGCTGACAGCAACGCCCTCGGCCTCGGCAGAGCCATGTCCTCGTTTTCGAGTCACATGGTTGGCGAGGCGGGGGTCGGCAGTAGAGGCAGGTTCACTGCCCTCGACTGCATAGACAACGGCTTGGTCGTGAATTGTGGAGAGCGTTGCAAAGCGGGTGATGTTGTGGAAGGTGGTAATTTCACAGAAAGAATCGACCCTGAAACCGTGGACGTAGTCGGGGAAAGGGATTTCGACGACAAGACCGTCAATGAGACGACCAGTGGTTTCGTTCTTGAAGAAAACCTTGATCGAGTTTCCAGTGCGCACGCCGTTCAAGAGACCCCACTTGACCTCGATCTTGGCGATCATGTGAATGGGTAGTTCGAAAACGGTGGACGTAGCATCGTGTGCAGCGGGATCGATGGCAGGGTGGATCCAAAGTCTCTGGAATGACCAGTCAGTCCAGATGCCGCGGCGCATGTCGACGAAAGAGTCGGAGGTGTAGGCGAAATTGTCAGCCTGAGCGTCCAGAGCGCGCGAGAAAGATCTGAACATGGTGGACAGGGCAGAACAAGAAAGTGAAGCGACGTAGGTGATGTTGGGAAGGAGAGATGTGAGGAAGGGCATCTTCAAAAGAATGCGCACTCGGTGCAGCAGACTTGCGCGTTTGATGGTGAAGATGTGTGTTTGGAAGAAAGTTGAGTGGACGAGAGAGAAGAGCAGACGAGGAAATACCGTGTGCGCTCACTAATGAAATTCCGTCGCGATGAACGCCAAGCATTCAGACGAACAGAACCTACCGGAACATCATGAGTGAAGGCACTGCCAAGCAGTGAATTAATGAGGTGTTTGTAAGGTGCGACAGCGCAACCGTCAGGGATCTACTTTTGCTACAACCATGTCCATGCAGCGTTGTCTAAGAAGGGCTACCAGCATGCGATCTTCTGCATGTCAACTGCAAACTGTTTGCAAGCTCGTTTGTCATCCCAGACAAACACTACCATATGAACCGCCGATTCACATATTATGAGTGGCGAAGATATGCAAAAAGCCTTTGGAAGAGTTTCTGTGTGATAAGTTGTTCAAGTCACGAGGAGGTGAGGTTGAGAGCGCGGACGGGCCGAGGTTTCGGCGCGAACCCGCGAGACGTGGGCTGTACCCTGACACAATTGTCTAACGAACGCGGCCTCACTCTATACGCACATGTGTCGGAGTGGTTCTTCCTTTTTTCTTTTTTTTCTTTGCCGTGGAGCAAAGCTAAATACAGCAGCAGCGATTTCCATGAAATGATACATGCAAAAGGTTGCATGGGTCCGCACGCTTTCCGTGGCACCCTGCCTTTGCACACAGCCATGATTAGATCAATCTTGACTTCATGACGATGCTATCTGCTGTGACTATTGTCGTGGTCTTGCAGGCCCTGTGATACATACATTGTCTCTATCTTAGGTGCAGGTTTTATAAAGCTACTACGCAGCTATTCATGCATCTTTACTAGTGAGCTCTAATCTCAAAAGAACTTGCTCCTTCTTTCTCGTCCGCTCAAGCATCGAGCGCCGGTCCAGGGCGAGCCATTCAACACAGCTCTGGTTTTATCTGACATTACTGAATGTGTATGCCAGGCGCAACAAGGTGAGCTTCGCCAGTACAACATACTTTCGCCACCCTAGCAACTACAATTGGCAAATGCCCTCAAGTCTGCCTGTAGCCGGCCATACTGCATCGCAAATCTCGGGAAGCTTCTAGGGAGCTCGGTATCTTGACACATATTGCAGCCTCGTGTGTCCACCAAATCATGCCGACGACGGCACCACAAGCGCTGGCTAGACCCCTTACAGATGCACTTCGGTGATACTCATATATTGCAATATAGTCATCAAATTACATATTCACCTGGTGTGGGATAGTGTACACTCTCGATAGAGCCACTTTTGGAACATACAAGACCCTCCGAAGCTAGCAGTCGGCGGCTGAACGATCATGTATCAGTGACTAAAGAGACTCGGTCTCTTCTGTCTGCTCTTGCTATTTGCTATTTCTGTTTTGCTTCGAGCTCTTATCAGCCTTGAAGCCACGCTCGGGACATTCCATCAAGGGCGCTTAACGACTCCCCCGACAGTAAGGCTGGACCGGCAAGAGCTGATCAACTTGATGAACACTCAAAACGGAGGCAAGCAAGTCTACCTCTTCGAATTGATCATCAAATCAAATATGAGACCAGATACTACGCGACGTGATGTTTGTCGTCAGGGCAAATGAATGCGTTGATTAGTACCTCCAGGCAACCGCGCATCAGGAGAATAAACAGATACTACCCGAATGATCCATAAAGAACATATGTAGTTGCCTCTAGTCGGGTGTATACATCAGAAGGAAAGACATTGTCCCGCCGGTTGCGTGTTGAGGGATCAGGGGAAGAGAAGGTTCCGATGAAGACAATACAAAGTCAGCAAAGCTCGTCAGTAACTTTTAGATAGTACACAGTGCAGCCTGAAAATAAGCATAGCTAGGTGGAAGGCATTGAAGGAAATGAACTTGTTCGTGAGTGATCGACAATTGAGAGTTGTTCATTGTCCAATGAACAAGAGATATACGCGGGTAGACAGGTACGTGTTCAAGGCAGTCGATTCATGACTATTTAGGTAGTGCTAACAAAAAAAACAGAATCGCCCTGATCGAAGCACTGACAAGAACAGTTGCTGCGCATGGGCTGCTAAGCAGAGGTGCCAGGCAACATGATAGGCACACTACCAGGAGCTTATTCCTTCTTTCAAGCAATACACTCAAGTTGACCACCTTGGAAATCCCGAGATTGGAGTGTTTGATATCCCCGAGAAAGGAATTTTGATGGGACCTTGCAAAGGAAAGGGTGATTGGAGCTTCTCGGATGATATAGGCGAGCCGAATTTGAGTGTGGCCTCATTGGAAGTGGTAATTTGGGGTTCATTACCACAAATACCGACGGCTCGGGAGTATTGGCATTCATCGTAAAAGGGGTCAGCCAGGTAGACTCGAGGGTTTGAACTGCGGAAAACGGAACAAGTCGAAGACTAGGGATAGACGATGCAATTTTGCATGGCAATGATGGAGCCCAAGGCTGCAGCGATGCTTTTGGCCGAAGCAGTCACCCAACCCAAGTCAAATCTCGCACATATGGGTGAGCCTGGACAAGTTGAGTCCGCTGCGAAGTACGAGAGCATGGTCATCGCTGTTGGTACTCTCGTGTTCGCCACCATGGATACTAGCAGCTAGGCAGCGTTGGAGCAGAGAGGCAGTTCCATAGAATTGAGATTCTGAGAGGCATAAACCATGACCAGACGAGCACTGGGAGTAGGCGATACAGAGATTGCAGGGGCAGCAGCAGAGACCGGTGTTCACACTGGAAGCTGTGGAAGCAGTGTAAGTGCCGTTCACGTGAGGAGCAGCGTGCTGAGAGGTGCCATTGACATGAGGAGCGACGTGCTGGGGAGCGCCGTTGACGTGAGGAGCGACGTGCTGGGGGACGCCCTTGACGTGAGGGCTGGCGATGACACTCGAAGCTGTGGAAGCAGTGTGAGTACCCCCGTTGATCTGAGGTGACTAAGGGCCAGCTGCCTGGCAACCGAAGGCGGCATGAGGGCCACGGGGAGCACCGTTAGCAGGTGAAGGAGCGCTGGTGGTAACGGTGCTGCTGAAAGACGGGGTAACGCTGGGAGAGCGCATAGGCTGCTGAGCGGTGGTAGACTCACCACGTACACTGACAGGCATACTAGAAGGGGTCTGGGTGGAAGTGGTGCTCTGGACTTCGCCTTTATGAGTACCAGCAGCTCGGTAACGTTGGAGCTTTTTGGAAAAGGAAGCCAGTCCGTCAGAGGTGAGCCTTGGAGCAACAGGAGTAAGGACCAGACGAGCACTGGGAGTAGGCGATGCAGCGGTTGCATGGGCAGCAGCGGAGGCCGAGCCTGTAGCGATGCTGTTGACTGAAGCAGTCATTGAACCAAAGCAATAGATCAGGCGCTTGGGCTCAACAGCCTCAGAGGATGGAGTGGGCTGCGAAGCATGAGGGCGGGAAGCAGTGCCGTTGGAACTCGGCCGAGCAACCAAAACCGCACACTGACAGGCATACTGGGAGGGACCTGGCTGGAAGTCGTGGTCTGATTTTCGCCACCATGGACACCGGCGGCTCTGGAGTGTTGGAGCTTCTCGAAGTGAGAAGCCAATCCGCAGGAGTTGAGGTTCTGAGCAGCAGGTGCCAGTATGGGACGAGCATTAGGAGTAAGCGATGCAGAGGTTGTAGAGGCAGCAGCGGATGTCGAGCCTGTAGCGATGCTGTTGACCGGAGCAGCCATTGAACCAAAGCCAAATATATCGCGTTTAGGGTAAGGAGCCTCAGGGGATTGAGTGGGCTGCGCAGCATGGGCGTCGGACATCGCTGCTAGTGCTCGGCCAAGGGACGAGAGAGCCGTGTTGACAATGGAGCTTCGAGCTTCTTGACCTTTTCTCCGGGTGCAGTGAGTCGAGACTCCAGATCTTCAGTATTCTTGTAGGCCTCGCTGCGCTCTCGATGTGCTGATAGGCTGGTCTGTCCAATTGGATCTTGTCTCGAATCGATTGGCAGTGCGTTTGCTATCGTTGGCGGAAATGCACCCAACCTCAAAAATCTTCATGTCCTTCTGGAAAAGCCGATACTACTGAGGTTGGGCAACCGACCGGGCCTGCGATGATGTGTGGCTAAGCGTCGATGGCTATGTCACAGCCGTAAGCTTCTCGATCACAGGTTGTCAAAGTGGAGCTTCAGCTTACCAGGGACCTCATTTTTAATTCATCCAGCTCGCCGTCTCTCATTGCCTGTTACTCGACCAGAATAGCGCCAACGTTCGGAAGTCGCACATGAGTCGCCCTGAGCGACGGCATGACGGTTGTACGTGATTTCGGGTTGTCGCAACAAGCCGTCGGTGACGCAACCGGCTTGGCGTTAGCTACCTCTACTCCAGCATTGCTCCGGAGTCCGGAATACAAGGTTTACGCCCCACTCGACCAAAATGGGCCGGCGGTTGAATAACTCGTCAATTGGCAGATCAAATGCATTAACGCGGTCAAGGAAGGACTCTCGACGATTACAGACGCTGAGAAGCAACACAATACCGAGCGAAACGACACAGAAACCTCTCAAACCCATCAAGCGCGGGCAGTCAATCCAGACTTCTCGATGGCTACGAGGAATCGTAGCTACCTTGATCTACTACGACGTCAGGAAGGATCATATACATCAATTTCCGCAGAGGTTCAAACAGGCCCTTGATCATTATGGGAAACACAACGCACACACTTCTCATGCATATGCTCCAGCGTCGTCGTCTGCTCGAGGCAAATTTGATATCCAATGCAGCTTTGACATCCGAGGACAGAAAGATATGGATATCAAGCGCAAAACTAAGCATGCATTCGACTTCACCTTGGACGGCAATACCTACATAGCGCACAATGTCACAAAGACTCCACCTCGGGGACTCGATTGGCAGCCCATAGTTGACAGTTATGAGTCTACTTCCCCTCGGATGCCATTAGCAAGCATCACCGAGAGCGCTCTAGGGCTTCTCACCCAGCTTGCATCTCATTGCGTGATCGCGGAAACGTTTCTGCAGGCCATGAAGAGCCGAGCTCTTCTAACGGGGTGCACCACCCGAAAATCCGAGAACCTTCCTTGTATATTTAACTTGGACGAATGCTGGCGCAAACCTCTTGATCGTATCGACGTCCATGCTGCCATCTCTCTAGGTACCAATAAGGGAACAGTATACCGGACAGACGATTCGCATCAACCGATTCGGGTAGATGAGGATCGCATGCGATCCCTAGCTTGGTTCCAGACCGTTGAGGGCATGGAAGGATTTACACAGGTCCCACACTACGTGGAGAATATCCCTGTAGAAACTCTATCCGAGCATTTGCAAGTCCCTGGATTACTTAGAAACGACGTCAATACCGTTCCATACGCGGAGTGTAGTGCAAACTTCGGCCCAACTGGATCATCGGTCGACTTGCATATTGGTAAGTTTTATCACTTCTTTTACGCCAATGTCACCGCTCATTAGTTTTTAGATTTCGGTATGCATGTTTTAAGCACCGTCTTCGACAATTGCATCAAGCTATGGGCTTTATACCCTCCCACAAACCTAAATCTTGACTTGATGTACGCAATCAGTGGCCGAGAACATAAGCTTCAACAGTTATTCGACAAACTTGAAGGGGGGGTTTTCGCAATTACGACTGGTGGCGCGACAATTCATCTGCCCCCTGGATGGCTACATGCAACGTACAACATTCGAGGAGGTTTTCTAGTCGGTATTGCTTGGGAAAATCTTCAAGACTTGGTGCTGCTGATTGACTTGTTCGTCCGCGAGGTCGAAATACACCCAGAGGATGCAGAGTATGCGATGGTGATCAGAATATGCACAGAAGCCCTAGAAAAGAAGGTAAATGTGCTTGAGGTGCTTAGTAGGCTATGTCCTCTATGGGAGGCAATAACAAAGGTTGACAGATACAAGGACAAGAGAGATCGGTTCGGGGCCTCAGCTTGGCGTAAATTCGAACGACATGCAGGAGGGAAGCTTGCAAGGTGTCCAGGATGCAAGCAGCTATTCAGTGTGCACAACCCCAATCGCTAAAGAAATACGCTACACCGATGGACACGTTTTTACGTTCTTATATGTTATATGATTGTTATGAAGGCGAAGGACAATCTGAGTCTGTTGCCGGGGGATGTTTGGGACAGAAATGGGAATATCTGGGACAGAGATGGGAATATTTGGGACAGAGATGGGAATGCTACATGTATGAGTTATCCTATTTCGAATACACGGCTCCTCGACTGAACTGTAACATGAAAGATACTACAGCCTCATTCCCGGATACAGAAATGGGCCACATGCTGATGACAAGCGAAGCGAGCCCCTGAGACGTGACTGCAACTGAGCGGGGCCCAACAATCAGCACTGGCAGCTAGGAAGGCGGTGAATATGGTGTGCATGTAAGGTCTACATGTGTTCATTTCTCTTGTGATCGTGGTAGCTCCAGTCTTGAATGTACTCGTCCATGCCAATGCGCCAACTCTCAAACTCAGCTCAATCCGTAAAAGAGCAGTGGTTCAAGCATCATGCAATCCTCTTCGCCAACAATTTTCACCAGGCCAGCCAAATCAGGCTCCACTGCGAGGTATGTTGTGTAATATACACATCTTTATCTGATACAGAGTACCGGATGAAAAGAGCAATAAGTCGTGTCCCATCGGTCGTTATCAATCGGCGTAATCACACACTTTTGCGTCAGTGACACGACAACCTCTCCCTCGTAAGGTCCGCTCTCGATGTCACAGAGCAGAGGTTTCATTCTTCTATATGCCCAGCTCTAAGCACGGATTAGATCGTTATGCTACATCATGTGAGAACTGGGGAGCAATGCTCCAAATCTCAATGGCCCAAATTTCCACAGTTTTGTTTCTTCCATGTTCCCAGTTGGTTTTTGGCATGCCATCCCGCTAATTAGACATACTACCATCTTACAATGGCATTCCAAAAGTTTATTTTCTATCCGCACTATAGTCCACTTCAGGCTCCCGCCCGTTGTGCATGTGGGTAGCAAACATCTTCCTCTATCAATGGAAGTTTGACCTGCTTGAAAACTTCCACTGACAGTTGTCTGTACTTGGGAATGCCCAGGACGCGTGTGCCACATCGAGTGATCTTTGGTCTCAAACGAGGCGTACGAGATCTTGAAAGAGGCTGTTGCTCGCCAGACTTTGAGTCTTCTCACGCTTGAAATATACTAGAAACTACAAAGCCTTCTTAAGGCAAAACTCAGCTGGGTGAGCTGGCCACTTTTCCAGATCGATGAGCTTTATTCAAGGGCCAGATCTCCAGTTCCTGGTGACTTGAAGGTTGCAATGATACTGGATTTGTGTGTTGGTGAGTCATTATCGACCGCCTCAACCAGACCAGATCGTCATGACCGCTGATTAGAGCACTGAGTTCTAGTGAGAGGTATTTAGAAGTGAATCTGAAGCGTTCTCGTTCCCTTACAATCACTCGGTCGACAATAGATTCATTGCGGAACCAATCAGAAGTGTCTCCGAGAGAATCCGCAAACAATCACTCGCGTCGACTGAAATCCGCTTTCAAAGATCAGACAAACGCGTCCCCCTTTTGCTCCAACCCTTCCCAGTCCATCGCCATCAATCAACGCACCACAACACAACGACATGGCTACCATTGGCTTCCATTGCAGTAGTGAGTGTATAGCACTTGCAATGCTACGAACGTATACTGACGATCTCAGTCGCCGATAGCGCCAAGTGGGCTGTCGCCGTGAACTTGTGTCACGGTCAGGGAGGTATTCCTGATCACGGCATGGTTGCTGCTAAAGTCGAGCTGATTGACCTCATCATGCCTGAACTCAATGCCCTCGACGAACCAGACGTTGCTCCCGCTGCTGCACGTCTTCACTACATCGTCAACAGACTGAACGAGAGCCTTGGAGGCGATCGCGTGCTGAAGATCTGTGACAACAATGATCCTCACCTCGCTCTCTTCCTCGCTGAGCACGAGGACGAGCGCTTCATCCTGGTGACCAGCATACTTGGCCGCTGGTATGCCATCTTGCGCCCAACCACCATCTCGCCCGAGTCCGACTCTAGCACTACTAGCTCTGTCACCTCTCTCACCTCCGACTTTGTTGGTGTCAGCCTCGAGCCCTCTGTCGGCCCCGAGTCTCCTCCCGCTTCCGACTCTGGTGGCGCCAGCCTCAACTCTCCTGTCGGTTCTGAGTCTCCTTCTGCCAGCTCTGATGGCATTTCCGCTGTCAGCTCGAGTGCCACTCACGACACTATCACCTGGGAAAACAGCTACGACAATGACGAGGGCCACTCCTATTTTGTCCCCTTCGACTCGGATTTAGGCCGTTCTTCTTTTTGGGGACGCATCTACTTCGGCAATGAGGGCGACGATGGTCCCAACTATGGCCCCTTCTGAACCTCCTAGATCTCTGCTCGGTAGATAACACAGTCTCATTAGATTCCACCCTGTGACTCGAAAACGAGGACACGGTGGAGTACAATGAGTGATGTGCCGAACTGCCCCAGAGTCAGACAGCCAAAGTTCAACGAAAGATGCGGGTTGTTAAGTAGTCTCAACCAACAAATATGTACCACCACAATGCCCAAAGTGTTCCCTCAACATCAGATTAAATCTTCCCAGTGATTCATGTGATGCAAGATGTGACTGTCGGCCCATAACCCTCTCAGCTGAACTCATGGCACATTTTCTTCTTGCAATCAAGCCTGTCACAAAGAGTCACTTGTTGTCGTTGAGACGCAATTTTCAATGGAGATCTGACGCGTCCCAATCTCCTCCATTGAGAACGGGCTGTTACATGATTGGCAGTCTCATCGTGTTATACTGGGATGATACACGGCGAGATGTGACAAAGGCAGCTCAATCTATGATTTGAAGAGGATACGACCAAGGAACTTGGTATAAAAGATGTTGTGTTTCTGGAAAGTACAAGAGGTCAAACTGTGTCGACTCGTTTGATGAGATACGTCGGGCAAGAACGGCTAGAAACTGCTTGAAAGGCGCGAAAGAACGAGAGATAGAGCTAATGGCAATCGATTCATGTTTCATGGCAAGTGTGTTAAGACCGTTGTATCTGCTCCTTCGGAGTAGAGGAAGGAAAGGCATAGACCTCCAAGACAACGGGGACTTGTGGTAGACGTTCGAGCCTGAAAAAATGCATCACATGAAAAGAGGTTCGACGATGGCAGGAAGACGCTATGTCTACCGTGAACAATTGGCCATTGAGCTTTGGTGCTGGAAATCATACCACACTTGCTGCAATCCACATGAAGACTGGTAAAGTAATTGGTTCTTCGAGGTATGCTCCTCCTTAAACTACTCGAAGGTGCTCAGTTTCAAGGCAGTGTAGGGTGGTGGACACTCTTCGAGTAATCGACTGTCAACCGTGGAGCGACCGCAATCAAAAGCCAGACATCAGACTGCCGTATACCAGCCTGTAAATGACTAACCTCTGTGTGCAAAGCTCTTGACCTTGTACAAACATCATCTCAACTCACAGAATCCTCGCTCCAAGCCTCTCAGTCTTCATGGACGGCAGTGGCTAGCCGATGGATATAAAAAGCATGATGACTCCGGGTGGGAAATGTTGGCATCACATAGTCAACGGCCACTACGAGGGAAACTCTGTTTGCACTGATTCTCTGTATCTGAAAGCACGCGACCCCACCCACGACTCTTATCAACGACAAGGTTGATGGGACCTCCAACAACTGCAGCACAGAGGGAGAATTGAATATCCTCCTATTCGATGCGAACCGAGCTTTCCTGGGTCAGACGGTCAAGCTCACCTTGACCAAAGCGATCTCTCACGTAATTCTCCAATATCTTGCTCCTCGCTTCTGCTTGCTTTTTCTCTTGATCCGCCTCCTGCTTCTCTTTGTAAAGCTTTATCCATTCAGCAAGAGCTATCTGGAGTGGTTTGTTGACAAAAGAGGGAACTTTGCGGTTCAGGTCCGTCTTTGTGATAGGATCTTTGAAGGTGCCTTGCTCTAAGTATTTGTGCAGACTGATCAATTCGAAAGATTGTCCCTCAGATGTCAAGACGGGTCTGCTCATAACATCGAAGAGAAAAGTCTTGTCCTTGAAGACATCTGGAACAGATTCCAGGGTGTCTAGAGTAATACCGAGTTGCTCATGCAATGGACGCTCGGTCGGGTCCTCCATGATATTATTGCACGAAAGACTGTAGATCAACGACTTTCCATCGCGTGCGGAGATGTATGAGCCTCTAACAGTGCCATAGGTGTAAGTCCTCACTTCGACGTCAGGTCCAGAAGGCACACGATCGAGTTCACGGGTGATCTTGCGAAGTCCATGCCGGACCATGTGGTAGATGACTGAGACACGGCTGGCGTACCATGTACCATATACTTTCTTGAACTCGATAATCGCGTAACGTAACTTGCGTTCGTCTGAGGCAAGGTCAAAGATCTCGGAGGCCATAGAGAGTCGTTCGACTGGAATGGAGGGATGAACAACCGGTGTTACGAAGGATTGATTCCATCCAAGACGGTGACGAGGATCACGAAACGGGAGACTCGAAAATGGAGTCCACACGATTTGATTGTCCACGACGTGGCTCCAGATTTTGGGATGACCGTTCAAGACCTGATAAGCACCTTGCTCTGGAGGGGATTGGCGTTCTGGAGATTGGAGGTCGTTGACCACTAGAGCAGCTGCCAGAACATCCACGCCATCGGAGAGGAACATGCGGTGAATGAGCGTTGTCAGGTCTCCTTCGGTAGAGTTGCCGGATTTGAAAGGGGACACGAATTGACAGAGAGCATCAGCGATCGCCTCTGCGGCTCGGTGGTGGATGCACATAGGGTCGTCTCGGTAATAAGTCTTAGCGAGCGCGAGTATCTGTGACATGATGAAGTTACCTTCATGCGCATTAGTACTGAGCTTGATTTGTTTTGACAATGGTCGCTCACCCTCTGGCGTGAAGATGCTGACTTTTGATGTATCATTTGTCTCGCGAAATTCTTTCAGCCTTTCCTGGACTACCCGGTAGACTTCTTCGTCGTCATCAGGGGACACATGGCGTAGCAAAGGTAGGGCCTTGCTCAGTGGTTGTCCTGGGAATAAGCGTACTAAGCGAAGTAGGTACTCCTCTTCCTCTTCGCCGAAGCATTCTGGCTCACCCGCTCTGCTCAGGAATGGAATTGAAGGTCCAAGAGAAGGCTGAGAACCCATTATGGCGTGATGCGTGGGTGTCGTGCTTCAACAAGCTGACGAAGGAGACGAGAGATGAGAAATGAGGCGAGAGGGAGAAATACAGTTGGCACAATGTGGGGAGATTGAAGATTGAATAGAATCGAATGGCAAGTATGGTCGATTCCATACAGCAAACGACGTTTCGCTTGGCGAACAAACCGGCAACCAGATCCGTAGAGTGGTACCCGATGGAAAGTTTCATGATATTTAGACAATGAGAATCACATAGCGTACTATGCCTCCATGCTTTGTCTCCTTCGGGACTTGATCATGATAGTAATTTTTGGTTGGAATCTTGGTCCGCATTGCTCGTCTGCTGTGACTCTACATACAGATTCGGATGCGAGAGTAGGCTTACTGTTCAATCGCTACACGTGAATTTTGCTATCTTTGGAACTGTGGTCAGATCAATCAAAAGATGCAGTGTTGTTTTGCACTCGAACAGACTGTACTGCGGATATGGGGGACTGCGGAGGTCGAGGACTCAAAGCCCAGCAAAGAGTGTTGCGACTCGATTGTTCGATGAGGGCTCGAAACGAATGGTTGTTGGTTATGTATCAGTCCATATGCAAGTTTTGTGATCGATGCGCATCCAGAGCAAGGGAGCAAAGGGGCGTCGACAGATCAACCCCGCGTTGGCTGGCGACCCCGATGCCCAAGCCAAAATCCCTTGTTGTTCGACCTGCAATGTCCAACATCAATTGATTCAATATCCCACTATTTCTTTAAGAGAGACCAGGCACAGACACACCAAGGTACTCATGGCAGGATGACGATCTTTTCTGTGAAAGTTCTGCGTCCCAACTGCTCAGGTATGGTAGCGAGAAGTCATGGACTAGCAACAACGAGCAGTGTCTTCCCGTCATAGTCGCGATACCTCTTGATCTTCCTGGAGTGGCTTCTTCTCTTTCTTCCTCTTGTAAGTCTATCTTGGAAGCTCTACGAGTTTTGACATCTTTCTATCTACCCCAGTCCCGCGATTTTGGACCGTATAGCAATGGCTAGGGAGTAGTGAGGCTGGGAGATCGCAAGAAGCCTGTTACGAAAAAGGTAGAACAACATTGGTATTCGCAGTGCAGGCCAATAGCTATCTTGGGCAGTTTTGGAGCCCTCGTCTCGATGTCCGTTGCAAGGGCACTATCGTCAAAATTCGCAACAACGACCCCCTCATCTTCCAGAGAAGATGATTCAGTTGATGTTTTTCAATATCGCGGAAGGATGATAGACAGGACCCTCCGATGGGAACCTTTATCGGATAACAGTGGCTATATTACCAAGAGCGGCGATGTATGCATTCTTCGTCTTAGCTAGCATATTGCAGCCTATCACGTTTGAACCATCCCCTGATGTACCGCGCATACAGTCACCCTCGCTGACAACTCAAGTCTACGTTCATGCATCGTATAGGCATGCAAACCAGGATGAATTCGACAAACGGCACCTGAAGACGCGTCTCCAGCACCAGACAAGCTTTCGATCTCTCTGTACACCAACCAGGTCTCATCATGATTGCAAACACTTACATACCATCCACGCCAGTTTCCAGCATCCCAGACGTCATCTGCTCTGCAGCAGTGGTAAAATTGGATGAATATCCATGTGAATTGGAAGCGGATCCCAACTCCATTGACATCGGATATCCAAAGCACGGTCATCTGGATATCCATGGAAGTGCCGAGATGCTTGGCAATATGAAGCTTGGAAATCTCTGGTATAGCAAGATTGTGGAGTAGGTTGATAGTACGACCCTGTCCACAATCAAGATTTACGATATCGTTGACAATATCTACTATACTCTATCTTTGGTTGATATATATGATTTTTCATATAGTTCTAGTATAGATGCACGATTTTGGGGAACTCAAACCTATATACCCTAATTTTGATTGAAAACTTCGTTATCCTTATTGATTCTAGCCCAGTCGACACAAAGCCATCTGATCAACCCTAATTGAGTGATGGAGCTCAATGAGTATCCATGGATACTTGGAGTTGGAAGAAGGGGTCCTTCCAAACTCTAAGAACTCCGTTGAGTGGAGCTCCACTCCATCCACTTCCAGCACTGCTCTGCAGATTGGTAACAAACACAAACAGTACCATTCAGCTGCAGGTCATTCTGTCAGTGACATCGATATGTACCTCCTGCTTGGGAGTTAACACCTAAAAGGCCTCATCCAAATCAACAGGTCAAACGATCGGCTCAAGTGTTGACAAAGCCCACCAAAGCTTAGGTGGTAACCATGCCGGCCACTCGATGGCTGACTTTCGATTGGCAAGACGTACGCAGAAGTGGGATTCAAAACTGTCCGATTTCGGATTGTGATGCCTACAATTGGATCATTTGACAATAAATTGAAGCGGTGTTGATCGGAAGAGCTTCCAATGAAATTGGTAAACACCCGCTCGCGTCGGCTCACTTCCATCACCAAGGCCGAGACAAGTGCATCGCGCTTCTACAGCGATCTAAACTCTACGATCGCCATCGCTGAACGCACCACTCAACACGTCGCAGCATCACAAAACCACGGCATGGCCAGCATATTGGGCGCCTACTGCAGTGGTAAGGTTACCGTGAAAAATGAGTGTCTCCGCGGCATTTTAGTGCGATGCAAGCATCAAGCCCATGCGACTTGAAAAGTGATACGCTACATCCATGCGGCTGACTGTCTGGAACTGCTAGTGTTGGACCACAATATGACGCAGGGGTTTGGAGCTGCGTCGTCTCAGCCCTTGTATACACCCACCAAGCCACCACTCTGTGTCCTTTCCAAATGGTGGCTTTTTCAGCCACTATGGTCCTATTCACGCTCGTGCTGCTTGGTCTGCTGATTGAGAGCATCTCGGAACATGTTGACGTTTGTGGTCTGCTGTTTGCTTGATGGCGTTTTCTGAAAGATTCCTTCCCACGCAAGATGATGTAGGTCCGTTTTCTTGCACTCCTCAAGCTCGCATCGGGATATCTACCAGCTCAAAACGCGCTCGCTGATTAGGGCGCCATGTAGTCCAGTCGTCGATGGTCATGTAATCAATTTTGGGCGTCTTCAACTTCCTAGCAGCATCTTACATGTTCTCGGCAAGCTGAAATATGACCCTCTGCTCCACAACACCAAACTCGCCAACGGAATCGCTAGCCACATCCTCCACAAGCTCAGTAGCCGACTACAAAAGCGCACTCTTGGTGTCATCCTTCCATCTGGCAAGCCTGGCCTCTTTAGTATGAACCAGTTCCTGTCCTTCCTTGTCTTCAAGTTGATACTCGAGGTCTTCTTCTTCCATTTCGAGGACTGCGCTGAATGCGGAAGTGAGGTGGATGATTAGGTGGTGTTGCTCGGCGTAGAAGAGACGGACGCAGGAGTGGATGAAGATGCCGATAAGGCGGCCTTCTTTGTCTGTGTTGTGATCGCTTGAGGAAGGCATCACTTAGGGTTGTTCTTTCCTAAGTAGAATCTCAATTAAAAGCGAAGACCAAGTCTAGACTCTCACTCACTCAGGCCAAAAACATCATGTCAAAACTTTGGACTATGAGAATTGTGATTAAGGAAGATGGCAAGCCTAGTCGACCAAAACTTCGTAAAGTTATGGTCAAGCATATAGAATGCTGCCAAAGCTTACGTGTACCATAAAGACGATTACGCATTGCTCATTGCAAAGGCGCCGGGGAGTGATTGATTCATCATGTTCTGTTGTAAGAAATAGGAATAATACCTCCAGCTTGTGAGGCTGGTAATCACAGCCTGCATTATGCAGCACGCTTTTGATAGGGTGATATCGTTTCCCATCTTCTCCGTCAGCCGCTTAATTGGCATGAGCAGCCATTCCATTGAGATCAATGTGGGCACCAAACCGTCGACCATTAGCAGGCTTAGATTGACCGGCTCTTTTGCATTCTTGAAACAACAAGTGAAGGCAGCGATATCTTTCTAATTCGCGTCGTCACAAGTGTCAAAGTATACAGTCCCTAAGACTTCTACTCTGTATTTGTAGAAATCTAGTGGTGGCAATGCAGGAAGGTCATAGCGCATTGCTTCAATCTTCTGGCAGTGGGAGACGTTGGGCGAGGAGGGGAATTATAGTGCGTCGCTCTAGTCTGTAGAGCTATTTTATGGACTGTGATACGAAGAGGTCATCGATGTCGAAATTGGATTCGTCTCCGTCGTCATGCTCGTCGTTGAAGTCGTCGTCATTAGGCGAACGGAGGTCGCTGTGCTCATTATCGTTCTTTTCTGGCTGGGTCCCTCGTCCAAAATCGCCGTGAGCGAGCTTGGTGTTGCCAGAGCGCTTCGCCTGCACTGCGGTTCGGCGATCTCATGAGAGCGGTGACCTTTGACAGGAGATGGACAGGACATGTTGCTAGATCTGATTGCGAGGGTCCCATCAGCCTGAGTAGACTCTCCTGATCACTGGCGAGGATTTCTCGACCCCAGTGTTCTGCGATCACGCCTTTGCGCGCTGACTTGTGCAACATCACACCTCAAACTCGTCGGACACAAATGTTGCACGAAATTTGTATATATACAAAGGTCAACGTGATAACCAACGGTGTAAGGACAAGTGAGAGAAATCGTTCGTCAGGCGCCTGGCCTACGGCTACCCAACTCGGATTTGCTATGAAATCTCCCCAGCCCAGTACCGTATGAGATCGCTTGTCAACGCCCGTCTAGTAAAGCGACTAAAGGCATTGGTTCTCGGCTTCGATATGCTTGGAATCTCACAACTTTTTCGGGTCAACCCATTTTGTTGTTATATCGAAGGTCTTCGACGACCTCATGTCCATGGCTGTCAAATTCATCGGCTATTGCTGCGTCGACGAGTTCCTCAACGTCTGCAGGTAGGCTGGAATATCTGTCAGTACGCCACTCATCCGTAGGCCATTCTGAGTGCGTGCGTACCCCTCCACCAGCATGTCGAACACTCTCGATAGATGCGCGCAAGAGATTAGTACATCGGTCGTATATGCTTGGCCGAGAGTCCCGTTCGCAACGGTGTAGAGGCTTTGACACGGAGATGCGAAGATCACAACATGATAGGCTGTTTAGTAGTGTGTTCAGCCACAAAGATGTAGACCTTGGCCTTCTTCTCAGCTGGTCCAATACTCTCGACAGCTTCGCGCAAGAGATCAAGACGTCGTTTGTATACCCCTGGTCTAGGGCTATCCTCGTCAGTGTAAAGGCTTTCATACAGGGATGAAAAGATCACAGCAGTCTTGACTTTCTCGTGACGAGGGTCTCCGAAGCCCGCAGGTGTCGTGAGCATGATCTTGCACTGTCCATTGCGGAATTGCTGTATGGTCTTCGAGTTCTTGCTTTCTGTTGTGAAAATCTGGCCTGGCACCCCAAGCTTGCGACACTGGGAGGCAAAGTCTACAACACGCTCTCGAGAGAAATCGATGCATAGGATCATCTCGTTTGGATGAAGGCCCAGAATCTCGTCAACGAAGTATCTCGAGCGGGCATAAGCTTTGAAAGCGCAAACTCGAATCTCGATCTCGCCTTCGAACGCAAGAGGAGGGTACTGACCAAGTCCAAAGGATTTGACATTGGTAGTGCAAATAAAGTCCGTGAGATATCGTTCTTCGAGCCCTCGCCTTGACGAACAGGTAGAATCTTGCCGACAAAGTGTTTCGAGTAAGCAAAAATATTAAAAGCGCAAGTTTGCACCTTGGTCTTGCCCCTAGAAGCAAGAAGAAGTTGCTTACCAAGTACAGCGCGAGTCACGTGGTGGTGCGGATGAACTCGTTGAGATATCGTTGCTGGAGTTCCTGGTGCAACGTGGAGTCCCTTTTAAAGCTGCGACTCAGAACTATTGTGGTCAGTGGGCAAGCGGCAGCCGTAGAGACCGGCTGCTCTCCAGTAAGACAGTATGGTTGGTGAGAGTGTTCTGTTCACCAACAAGGTCTCCAGGATCGTCGTGCCTGGTGTCGTCGGTGGGAGTGTTCTTCTTGCGGACAAGGTCTCCGCGAGGAATGTTTATAGCGTATTCCACCGTAGGTTCATGCACATGAAATCCCCTTTCTTGCGAATGATGACACCCAAGTGCTGGTCCGTATCAACCTGGCCAAGAAAGCAACAAAATGTTTACTAAGGCCGAAGCAAGACGCATGATAGGCAGATTACGTCCATAAGATATTGTTATTCGAGTCATTGATGCAACGCTAAGTCCTGTCTCCAGCCTGCGGACAGAGTAGACAGGGATCCCGTCGTGGAGGGTAACGCCGTTTTTACGGGTTCTGAAGTGACAATCCACATGACGAGCGTGGTGTACAAGTCGATCAAACACGTAACGGGTAGGAGGCGAATTGCGCAGCAAGGACCTCAGTGAAGCTGCGTTGACTAATGGCCCCAATCCAAAGTCGAAGATCGGAGTCATGATGGCTCTTCGCAGCACCAAGTTCATAGTCTGAACGGCGAAGGTTTGAAGCTGGCAGAGACTCCAAAGGTCATCCTGCGGGACGAATGTGGTGCGCAGATCGTACGAGAACCCTGCAGCAGGCTGACATTTCCCAAGTGTCCTCTCTTGGAACGAGAATTTGGTTGAGGAAGAGGTCGACGCACTCGTGGTTAAACCACATCTTAAAGAAGTGTGTTTTCCGAAGGAGATTTGGGCCATCGAAGGAGTCCGATGAGAGAAGATTGTCGTGAAGACCTGGCATGACGCCACAATCCTGTCACTTCTGCAATACGCGCTCGAATCGATGCCATACACGGAACGCCCTTGCCTTGATCAAAGCTGGGTTTGTCTCGCCAAAGTGGTTTGGGCAAGCATGAGCAAGTAAGCCGCCGCAAGTCCGTGCTTTGTAGTTGGTCCCCAAAGCGAGATGAGGGCAAACATCAGTGGCGCAGATGTAGGCCTGTGAGATATATAGAGTAATGCACCCATAAAGGACGCTAGCCAGTGTCACAACTATTACATGCCCGCTTTTGACAAAGGTCTTCGGACTTGGAGTCGGCTCTCAGGGTTTTCTCGATCTTTCGAGTGGGCACGCCTATGCGAACCAGCCATTGAGAGGTGGGCAGAGTCAAGTGCTGAATGAGGCTCAGCTCTTGCAGTTGAGGTTCTAGAGCAACGTTTTCGAGCGTATCGCCGTCAGACAGAGCTGCTTCCAATCGTCGCGCTGGAGGTGCAGAACAAACGCAGTCGAGTCGACAAAGCAGCTGTGTGCGGTGGGCAAGCTGTATCTGGTATACAAAGCAAGTACCAACCACATCCGAATGAGCCTGATTTATGCTTGTGACTCGCATCTTCTTCAAGGGGGGTAGCTTGAGTCCGTTGACAATGCTGAGACTCGCTAATGCCGCAGCGAGCTCTCCCGAAGGCTTGGAATAGAGGGTGGGTGAGATATGTAGAGCGAAAGTCACTGTTGGACATTTGTAGCCACCTGTCGTTGCTGTGCCAATATCAAAGTAGTTGATGTTGATGCGATATGCAGATCCACTGTCGAGGCTGTTGCTATCCTCATACAGGAGAGCCAATTGACGATGGCCAAACAAGACTCTGCCACGCCGTGGGTCGACAAAGTGTGGCACAAAAACCAGCTCACCATTGATGAAAGACCACACTCCACATCGCACATGGGCTTGACTTGACACTGTGCAAGAGGTATTTGTTGGGTGGTGCTTTCGACACCGCGCAATTGATGTAATGACCGTTCGTGTTGAGCTGAACCAAAGGTCTCCGCTGGCCGTCGGACTTGCCATACTTGGCGATGAAACGCTTGCTGGTCTCAGCCACGATGACGAAGATTGGTGCTGGAATTGGGGAAAAAGGTCGAAGAGAGTGACAATGGAGGAAATGGCACCGCCATCAAACAACGCGCTAAATCAGCTTCGCACTCAACAAGCCATCTCTTTCTCTGAAGTAGAAACGACAACAGGTCGTGAGCGAAGTATCCCTGAAAAATGAGAATTGCGATCCAGTGTCCGGTGTCAACGCAATCGCGTTTGATTATGGCGAGGTCATACTCTGCCATGTCGCGCAACTGGATAAAATTGTAAATGAAAGAGTGATTTTTGGCAAAGAAGGCGGTCGTCCAAATTTATGGAGTCCAATGAGGAGAAATTGGCAGGAAGATTGCTTGCCAATGCCCAACCAGTGTAAATGTCCTAAGCATTAGTATCCTTAAGCAAGATTCTAAAACAATCTTCAACCTATGCCATGCTCAAACTAGTATAATAGTAGCTTAGGCAGGTCAAAACGACACCGAAGTCCGCGTGACCAAATTCAGAGTTCTAAGTCGGTATGCCTTTTGCTTAATATGGAATAGCCATTAGGCAGCGAGCCGGATTAAGCCCGTACTTAACGAGCCATCTTTTGCGTAGCAAAACAAAAGATAAAATGTCACGAGCGAACAAACCGTGAAGAATAAGAATCGTGTTCTAGTGTGATGAACCGATACAATTCTTGTAGAGAGTAGCAAGATCTTGTTTAGAAACCTCGCGGTAATAGATGAAGTTTCGAATGGCAGTCTGATCCTTAACTGAGAAGTAGTGTAAACCCACACCAGCGATTTAACCTTCGAAAGCATCATCGACGAGCAAATCTGGAAGGCGATAGAATATAGCAGGGTCCAGAACGTTAATGTCAGGGATGAACTTGTTGCCCATGGTCGCGTTGATCTGTGAAGGAAATTGCTTCGAGAGGCTTAAGGGCAAGGTGTGCTTCACTCGGCGAAGCACACCTTGCGCAATCGGCCAGCGTTCACCCTTTCCATCCAGCATTTCTTGACTGCCGACGGGATAAACAAGCTGCGACTTTACACCAAAAATCTCGTCGCTCTCATCGATGATGTCGCGACAGGTGTCTCGTCTTGGCCGGTATAAGACCATCTACCAAATGGACCAGGTTCAAAAAGACTTGACGTTCATCAGGTTCCAAAGTCCTGCTTAGCCTGCGACTCCTTGTTTGTGCAACAGACTCAAGAACGGAAATACCACGAGCCGTAGCTTGGGGAGGTATGAAGGATCGCTTGTTGTATATACACCGAAGACATGCAGCTCTGGGTGCTGAAGAGTGATGCCGTGTTGATTCTTTGAAGGCCGAAATACTAATGGCTGCGGCTCGCGGCCTCGTCGTATTCGTGCAGAAGAAGTAAAAGCTGTAGCATTGCCATGCCTGGTACACAGACTCAGGTCAAGGACGCTCTTGAAGCCGGACGAGGTCTGAGGACGACATTGGAAATCTTCCTGGGGCTTGCTATTTGCGTCAAGAGCCTTGGGCTAGTTCGTCCTGGCTCGAAACACACGAACGAAAGCTTCAGCTCTTACCACGTCGTGTGCTGTTGGGGTTCGGCCAGAGTAACCACCAACATACTCAGAAACGAGATCCATGAGTGGCTCGCGCTTGTAGAATGCTGCGCTCGCCACGTTAAGGTTGACCGAGGCTCTGTTGGATGAAGTGCGGACGCTAGCGTAGTACCCGCGAAGAGCTTGAAGGCTAACAGTAATCTCGACCTGCTCCACCGATGCCGAATCGAGGCCTGGCTAGTGACTGTTTTGACCGAGAGAGTAAACGTTGGTCGTGTCGTCAACATTGCATAGATGCCATGGTCTGGGAGTCTGACCGGAGTGACTGCTATCATACTCAGAAACTGAGTTCATGAGTGGTGCAGCCTTATATATAGATGTTCATGTCGGCACGCCAATGCACGCCTTAGGCAGCAGAAGATCATGCTGTCTTGGGACTTGGCCAAAGTGTTATTGAAAGGACCAGTGTCCATGCGAGACGCTGGTTAAGCGGGACAGAAAACCCCGATGTCATCTTGCATGTGCGGTGCGGTGTTGAGGTTGTCGCAACAAGGCAGAAATAATTTGAGAAGCAGTCGAACGATAGAAACCAGTGGCCTCGGGCTTTTGAAACCCCCGACAGTGCTTGATATCAGAACGAGCACTGCTGCAGCCAGACGCAATCAGCTGACATAGCAACAGAGCAAGCAGCTGTGTGAGAGGGAGGTTTGCTATCGTGTGTCACCAAAACACTAGACAGTAGTGCTTGAAATCTGAGTGCTTGTAGACAGTCTTGTTCTGGAGTGATATATCCCCTCGGTGGCGATTGTGAAGGTGCCTGGAACGTCAACCACGGAGAAGTGCTCTTGCTCGGGTCCAGCCACTTCTACTTTGAGCACATCTTCAGCGACAGTGGACTTGTCGTCGCCATCTTCAGCAGAATCCGACAGGCGCATGAGCTCGTATACGTCTTTCATGGCTTTCGAGAGTGAGGCTGGTCCAAGAGCAGCATTGGTAACGTTCTTCCAAGTGAACAGCTTTGCGGCATGGTCTTGTGAAGCATGCTTGTGAGGGATACCATGCCGCAAAGCTAGAGTGGCTACACTCATAGTCGCGATTCTGAAGTTGCCCGGAACGTCGACTATGGCAAACCTCGTGCAGTCGTGAAACCGTTGCACAGGGTCTCGAACACGCGTCCAAGTATCGACCTGTTTCCTTTCGAAGTACCCGTGATAGTCGTGGTCTGGTTGGCGCCATCGATGGCCTCTGGCGCACGAGGAGCCGCCCGAATGGTAATATTTTGGTCCGCTCTAGCAGTCTATAGTTGAGGTCGAAAATTTCCTTGAAACCTGCATGTTAGCTTGTTTCGATAGAAAGGACAACATTACAATAAGCACATACAGTTTAAATAAGAGGGATCAGTGCTTGTTGGTAAGTCTAAAGCACGCAGACTTGGATGTGTTGGCGGTAATTAGTCGCAGGCTTTTGATCAGTGAACGTGCACCCCTTTCGACAAGGAACAAGTAAGATCCGATCTCTAGTGAGACGAATGACACTTTGATGTCGGTCAAACAACAGTGCTGACGAATTGAATAAAAGGACCGCTGCCGAATGCTCTTGCTCTGGGCCGGTCACCTCCACCTTGAGCACGTCCTCGGAGAAGGTCGATTTGCAATCTTTATCATCAGTGAGATCTGACAGAGCCACGAGCTCGTGCACTTCCAGTGTGGTATTGGAGAAAGAAACTGAGTCAATGGCAGCATTGGTAACATTTTCGCCCGCTCTGGTCACACTCTTCCAAGCGCGCAGCTTATCAGTGTAGGCTTGTGTAGCATCTTTGTGAAAGATGATCGTGACAGTTGTGCTGGCGGTTTTGGCACGGCGGAGTAGCGAATATTGTGAACAAGCCTGTGTCTCTGGGAAAAGGCAGCTTGGCGATGCCCTCGAGAACGGGTGACTTTCCACTTGATTGATCGCCAACAACGACCAAGTTTGATAGGGGAACGTGGTCCCAAACGCCACAGACGAAGACCTTGTGAATTTTGTGGAGGAGACCGGAATTTGTCGTGTTGGCAGTCATGCGACTGTTGGGGATCTGTTGCGTCTTGTTATATCTGCAGTCGTGATCCAAAAGTCGCAAACCATGAGGACAGTAACAAGAGTGGCATGCGCGACGTAAGTGGGTACGGAAACCTTTTGGACCGTAGGGCAATGGACAGGATGGCGGAGAGTGCGAGCGACAAGAATGAAGGCGACTTGGATATTTGGCAGCGGCAGGTATAGTGAGTTGAGCCAGGAGATTGACACCGGCATGTTCATTGTTCAAAATCGAAGAAGCTAGCGCGAAGGCGATATGACGAGCGGTAATGGCAATAGTGTCAGGAGCCCGAGGTGGCCGATGAATAAGCAAGGGTAGGGAAGAGAGCCACGAGCAGATGCTTAGTATGGCTTTTCTTGAGGGCATTTTTTGACTGACACATGATGTAGGCAGCGTACATCTGGGAACTCTGGCTGAGTAGCGGGGATGAGTGGAGGCTGAAGATCTCGTGGTTACTGCTGAAACCTCTGGAGTACTTCCTTGTTTGTTGACATCCTCTTCATCTTGTTTAGAGCTCTTCTGTTGGCTTCCACTTGCTCCTCGAGTGTGGTCTCGTGGCAGGTGGGGCAGCTTGGTCTGAGCATAGATATGTTGGTTGTGGGCAGAGTCGGTCCTGATAAAAGCAGGAGCTTCAACGTTCTTCGTCACAGCATTTTTGAGAGCCTACGTATTGGTGACTGAGCTGTTCGACTCAGGAGCTCCGGTTCGAGATACATAATGGGGTAGTGGCAGTGCCAGGTAATCACGGCCAGAAATCCATGGCAAACCGTAGGAAGCAGATTCCGTTTCGACCGTTAGAATGCCCCGTTGACTGGAACATGTGGCCGCGACAGACTTCAGCGGAAGTATAAGAATCTTCCTCGTCGCTACTTGGGAGTAGTGAGTGAGCAATTGGCGTGATAGGCTCACAGTAAGGAGTGGAGGATCGAAGACCGCGGACGGCCATTGGCGAGTGTAAAAGGCAGAGCTCCACGCTATGTGAGCATGAAGCGTTACTGCTTGACGAAAGACAGCCACTTGATACGAAAAATCGATCTTGATTTGAGAAAGAGATGCAGGGCAGGTGCATGCTTGGTTTGACAGCTACAGGTGCACCTGGATAGCTGAAAGCGGTTTGCTGCGTATCCTGGGAAGGGTGGGTTGCTTGGAGCTTGAGGGTTGAGAACGAACCTGACAACGTTCAATCTGTAGACATCGACAGGGCAGAGTGTATGGAGAGGCAAGACCAAGTCGACATTTGGAAAGGCAGGGTTCTTGTGAGGGGCTACACGCGACGAGAGTGGCATATGCGTTGAAGGTACATGGCGGAGTGGCAGGGAGGATGATCGTATATCGGCGCCCGAAAGGTTTGCTGTCGGCGAGAATGGTGAGTAAAGGTGTCAAAGATGCAACAGGACAACGATAAACTTACAGCGCAGGGTTTCGGCGACATTCGGGTTTGGCAGATGATGCAACACATCTGGACAGTCTAGATTTGATGAGAAGTTGGCTGTAATATATGTTGACGGCGATAAGCGCAGTTCAAGATGCCCATTGCCTAGAGTTGGAGGATGTAGTTGCGAAGAAGGACTTAGGCGCCGTCCGTGAAGGGTGATCCCACTGTGGCTATGAGCTGTCAGCTTGTGGCTGTGCGGGTATGCAGGGGCACGTGCAGCAAGACTTCTGGACGATATTTGGCTTCCATATCAGAGCATACAGTATTGGACAAGGACGATTAGCCATTGGATTGATGCCCGTAGTCCTGTCCGGACCCGCAACCTTGGCGGAGATCGATTTGGATGTGACATGATGTGATGATGACTCTAACGAACAGCTCTGGGCAGTAGACGATATCTCAGGATGGATTATCCTAGCATCTTGTGTTGGGTAAAAGCATGACATGTAGGACAGCTTGGTCAAATTCTCAAGAACAATGTCTGTAATCGGGCTTGGTTCAAGTCCAAGAAGCGGATTGGCTTCGACATGGACATGAACACAAGGGTCTCGAATGTCGTTCCTATGAGCTCACCCGTGATGGTATTGCTTCCTGATGAACTGTGTAGCACTTTGGGCCATGCAGAGGGCACGCTGGTTCGATGGAGTTACATCAACATCGAGCGAAGTGGTCAGGACACATTTACCGATCGTGGAAACAGGGTAGAGCGGCCTTTGTACTGAGTTTCTGATTGATGAACTAGACAAGTTGTGCTGAGTGCTAGCATGGCGTAGGACAATAAGAACCCCGAGAGATCTAGTATAGAATCATGCCGTGCATCAGTAGCTGGCACAAATCAAGTTCTTCTTGGGAGCTACCATTTGTGGCTGGTTGGGCGACCCTGTCGTACTTCGCACACAACCCTTGATGAAGATCCTTGTGGCACAGATCACTACAACATACCTCGTGGGGTGATATGTCTGGACGATTACACAGAGCTGACACAAAGCTGCCATCTACTCGTAGCTCTGTGGATGGGGACGTATCCGGAGCACTCGGCATTACCGCAAGCCCCAGTGGAAGAGCGTATGCCAACTACACGTTTTGTTTTCCTCGACTTGTTACACAGACCGATGCAAAACTGCCAACACTACACACTGACCCACTCAACGAAGATTCTGTCCTATTGACCACAACATATCTACGCTTAGCTGCCATGTGGGTGGGTAAGGTGCACCACCGCCGTACCGTCTGCGATGAGAACATGCCTATCCACCAATGACTACCACAGGTACATTGTCCTCTATCCTCAGAGTCTTTAGTTGTGCGTTCTGCTTATGACATGAAAGCCGGAGACAACTGTAATCGAGTATAGTCGTGTCGCCCATCATTCCTTGAACGAGGCTATCTATACGGCCGATTGAGAGCCAGCAAGTCGCAGACTTCAACGGCAAACGATCGTCAGATTGTCTGCATTGAGGAGATAGACTTGGGGATCACAACACCACCGAAAAAAAAGATGATACAACTGTACTGGTTCTCCAGCCATCGGCCCCGACTGTTCAATAGCTGTTCTGGAAGCTGTCCAAGCACTTGCCGATCTTTGCCTCTCTCAGATGAGGCCGGAGCGGGGTCTTGATCTCAAACACTTCTATTCCTCTGGCAGCTTTGCATAGAACATGCAACTGAATTCCTGGCGCTCCAACCTCGGTTCCTACATAGCCGCTGTCAGTTTCAAGCCATGTCCTGGATTGGAAGTCTTGTCATTGCTCATTGCTGTCAACATAACGGCAATTTCCATCGCTCCAGACTAACCATGGTATTGTGGTACCAAGCTTCACCTGACGGTTGGCTCTGTTCATGTATGATATTCATAAAAGTATTCGTTGTTACAGGAAGTGTATGCTCGAGAGTAAAATGCTCATCGCCATGCTCAAGTACCCCAGGCGACCTAGTTGCCCCGATGAAGCTCGGGTGGCTATTCTCCATAGCTACCGATGATGTGGCTCCGACAGCAAGGATGAACTAGCAGCATGGCAGACTTTTGCATACTGCTCTTGATGCTGAGCATGCTTGTGAGAAGACCATGGCTGCTAGTACTGGAATGCCTAAGGGGGCCCCGTTTGACAGCAATTGAATAGAGTTCGTGACTTGTCTTACGCAACATCTTTCATCACCAAGAACGGCCATGGAGATCTTGATTAGCAGGGTTCTAAGATTGTCTGCCCGGACATGGAGTCCCTGGTAAATGAGAACACAAGACCACGAAGTACATTCACAAAGCCAAGCCACATCTGAACTACGATAACAAGGTCCACCACTTTCTTTACAATTTCGAGTCATAGGGTTCTACACAACACCTGAACTATTGAACCGCCAGGAAGGTCTCTCATGACATTGTCCGAGGACATCCTATGTGGGCTCGGAGATGATGATGACGATGATGAAGAACCAGATGAAGAAGAGGCGACTAAAGATGAAAGCGAGAAGCAGACTGCTACTTGGCGTTGCGACTGGACTCCGCCTCACGCTTCCATCTCCAGCCAACATCCTGGTCTCAAAGATCGTTTTGCTGATCATTGAGGTGCATCAGAATGTAGCGCTTCGCAATATACATCATATGCTGTAACAATTATGGCATACCAGGGAAGATGCCTTGTAGTTACGACGTAGTCTTAGAAGGCAGAAAGAAAGAGCAGAGAGGATGAAGTAGGGATTGACTGGAACAAGAATGCGTCGCTAAATGTTTGACTGTCATAAGATAGTTCAAGGATTTAATTCAGCCTTTCCTACTACTCTTTGATGTCGTTGAAACGTGTTCATGACCACCAGCGCTGAACCTTGACGACTAGTGCATCCATTTGAAGACATGGTCCATGGTGCACGATCAGCCACGTTCCCTGTATGCCCAGATCCACTGGGTCAAGCTCACCGTCCTTTGCCCTATGTAGGAGGAAAGATGGATGATAGGTGTGCCTCAAGAGCAACAACAAGACTATACTCGGATGGCGTCGAAGCGATACAGTGAGCTCATTTCCAAAGGCGTCAACCGAGCTTCCATCTGTATTAACCTGAAGATGGAAAGAGGAACCCGCTGGTTCGGATACAGTAAGTATGAGAGGACGAGATGTTCGGACGTATACTTAAATCTCACTGGATAGTACGAAAATGTTGCATTCTTTCATGGAACGGTGCTCTACGGCAACGTATGATGAGTATGCGAAGTCCAAGTACCCTTAATACTTCTGATACAGTGAAGATTGGGCTGCTTAGGATTACAAGAAAGTGTCGGGAGACTCGTAGGAGTCGGCTGAGTAGAGGAACTGAACCTGCCTCCAACATCAAGTTAGACAGACATTGTCAGCATACAAACATTTTGAACCTGACTGTATGTTTGTTCTGAGCTTTCATGCGCATGCCAACTTTATTTCTTACGTTCATTGTCCAGGTAACATGAATTTTCGGACGTCGTGCATTTTGAGGCCATGATCAACACTGTGAAGACTTCTTACTTTTTTTGATAGCAAACTGTGATTGGGATTGGCTGCTTTTTCTATGTAGTTTAGAAGGGGGTATGTCTGGGGGAGATGTGTGTAACACTGGCCGCATCTCTCCTTGTACTTCGTTCTGTCCTCGTTTTCGAGTCACAATACGAAGTCCGTTGGTTTGGCGTTATGGTCGATGCTACTTCGGATCCCATCGACATTCTCTGACTTCGAGTCATCCGGGGTCTCGATGGAGGATAAATCCAGACTATGGGCACTGGTCAGTCTTGACATTTAAGGATTTACTGGAAGGATACACACAACTGGGTCCAAGAATCTAGGACTCATCAGCAAGATTGACCACGTAGCTGGGCTCCATATCGTTGTCGGATCTGACTGTTGTGAAGGTGGGCTTCGGGTATGTTCCATTCGACTTGAAGTGGGCGACTTCCATCTGAGGTAAAGACTCGCGGTGGCGGCGGATTTCCATGTGATCATGTCCATAATGACAAAAGTCGCCGAATTGACAAGAACCATGACCTTTACGCTCCCATAGGCAGGTGGGGAGCACATGGATCAGGCCATCGTGCTCGAGGGAGTTGTGAGGACAGCCCTCGCCTCCGGACTACGCAGAAGTCAGCTCGGACGGTCAAAGCCAGGCGAGGCACGCTGGCGCAACGATGGCTCACCTGAGGTCTGGTCTCCCACGCCTTGCAGATATGTAGGTAGGGACAGGCGGGGTTGTTACACGTCTTGTTTTTCAAGGAACGACCACAAGCACGACCAAGGAGAGAAGCAATGTGAGGACTCCAGGTCGACTCGGTACGAACACTGCCATCAGGCATTTGAGCCAGGAGATAACTTCTCTCTTGATTACGACCAGCGGGGTCAGGGTAATCGACTCTGGTGAAGTCCAGCGAAAGGATGTCGGATGACTTCACTGGGACTGTAGCAAGCGATGCTTCGGGGTCGGTAAGATCTTCTTCATTCATCGAGGCGACTCTGACGTGCTGTTCGAGCCGGCGGCGTTTCTGTGTCTATGTTAACACACTGTCAAAAGTTTTGATTTGACCTTTTGCTTACGTTGCTCGAGTCATCTTGAATACTGTCGGTGTGTTTGTGCTCAGCGAGCTGCGAGTCCTCCATCGTTGCGGTTTGCGAGGAGTTTGAGTTGGCGTGTCGGGCGACGCAAAAGAGCCGCGTGAGATGCAACGGAATCGTTTGTGTGGTGGAACAAACGGACTTGGCGGTGTCGTTTGCGCACGGCTCGTCCAAGTTCACAGAAGAGAAGGCAGCGAACATGTGACAGGCCAGCACAATACGTGATGAGCGAACTGTTGGCCCGTCCCAAAAGCGGCAGAAGGACTGGTGTCAGCTGCTGGAAATCGCATCGCGTATCACCACTCTTGGAATAAAAGGTACTCCATAGTCACACATCATCTTCCCATGAGTTGACAGCTTTACGTGCAGAACATACATCTGTATGTAATTTGCAGTTATCGCTTACTGAGCCTTTGACAAGTATCGCTTGCTGAGGCTTTAATAAGTATCAACTACCATCAAAGCACGAGGGTATGGTATAATGCCTTCTTTCTCTTACATGACCATTCTCACGAAGAGCCAATAAGCATCCAACGTGCTGATATCGTACCCACTTTACGACCCAGGGTTCAGAAATGGCCTGCTTGACGATCTTTACGACGCATTGAAACATAGCTGTTGCGTGGACCATGACGAAGCAGGGAGGTCGCTGACAGTGTTCATTGCTCGAGTATCAGGAGAGGACAATGTAGAGACAAAGAAGCAGCCATGTAACAATCACCAATGTCAGTAATGGTGCCGTCTCTCAGCCTTCTCGAGATGGTGAGCACCAGTAGGCTGACGTTCAAACTTCGACTGAGCCAACGAGCAACTCGATATGTCCCCATCGGTCCCAGGTAATGTGCTGTGAATCTTTTGTGCAGTGGAAGCTTTGGCCGGACGCAATGAATCAACGATGCGTCAATCGAACGAGGTGGAGGCGCTGTGCCGATGGGCTCTGCTGTGCTGGCTCTCAACTGCCCTCAGCTGGGACGTTGAGGTTCCACATCCAAGAGCCAACAGTATACAAATACGGGAGCCAAACGTTTCCGTTCCCTATGCTTCCTCTTTTGCTCTTGCTTACTGGACATTGCATACAGTGAGTCAATATACTGACTCTCCGGCTCGAAGCTCTGGTAGAGCCAGCGGTCAAGCAATTGTGACTGATGAGATAATATAGGCATCACGATTCATTTCACCTTAGGTTTCAGAAGGTGGTTGATAGCTACACTATCAACGCAACAGTCAGAACTTCAGGTTCAGCAGAAAAACGTTGTCCTTAGGCATGATGGCGAGCAGTGGTATCCCAGAGCTCGCGATGGTGATTGACAAATGGGAGGCTCCATAGAACCTGGACCTACTCATTGTCGACGACGCGAAGGATGAGTTATCGATGCAACGCATGCCTCGAAGGACCCGGTATTTCACACTCGTATGTTTTGTATGGTCGAGGAGAAAGATGCAGTGGCGCGGTTCTTGGGATTGAGGTGGATGTGACCAAAGGAACAGCAACTTTACCGCTTTCAGAGATGTCACTTTACACGTCAAACGAACCCGTAAATGGCGGGAACATGCATCTGTAACAAAGAGGATATGCAGCCTTGACACACCTGGGCCATCATGCCAACCATCAGATGTCTCAAGGCTGCATATACCCTTTGTTGCAACTTTTGGCGCTAAATTTGCCAATCTAGCTCTTGCATGCGTGAAGCCATAGCATGAGGGAGATAGAGCTGCGTGAATACAAGTCATGCAGTCAAGGAAATAGACCTACGAAGTGACAGCTTTCAGTGACTATGTTACTCGACAATGCCAAAGTGAATGAGTCGTCGGGATAACATGGCGAGAGCCCTGATTGGTTGCCTTGGCATGCTAGATGGTTCCGCCGGGAGTTTTGGTCGTGTGTGCAAACAAACAGCGTGCTCACCAGATTTCCGTCACTACACACTCCCTCCTTCCGTTTTTTTTTTCTCGCGACACTCAACTCACACCACAACTAAGCGCAATGTTGTCTGTCTTCGGTGGCATGGCCGCCAAAGTCGGCAAGATGACTGGACGTACCTCCGCACCACGTACGCAATAATTTGTCATGCGCAGAGATCTTGTACTGACTGTATATGTTAGTCGACCAGCATCAAGTCACAGAGCATGGCGCCGTCGACAACGCAGAGCACGGCACCGCTGATAATGCAGACCATGGCACCGTCGGCAACGCAGAGCAAGTCGCCGTCGGTAACGCTGAGCACGTCACCCTCGATGAGACTATCCAAGGTAAAGTGAAAATGGATAGTGGTGGCAGCTAGACGACTGACATTCGTGTCTCAGGCAACCAACGCAATGCCACCGCTGATCCCGACCTGGGAGAAGTGGTCGGAGAAAATGCCCTCCCAGAGATAGACTTCGCGAGACTCAACTTTCGTCACTACAACCGCATGATGAGACGCATGTTGGTCGAGCTTTCGGCCTCCGCAGGCGGAAGGCGTGTCGACCAAAACATTGCTTTGTTCCAGGGCCTCCTCGCCGCACGTGGTCTGCCAGAGGCTTTGTACGTTCTCCGCAGATTGGACAACTGGCCTGGCTTGACTGAGCGCGTGCGTCAACTGCCTAGCCACGCCGCCGCCCAGGACGCCGCCCAAGATACCGCCGCCCAGGACGCCGCCCAGGACACCGCCGCCCAGGACACCGCCGCCCAGGACACCGCCACCCTGGACGCCGCCCAGGACACCGCCGCCCAGGACACCGCCGCCCAGGACACCGCCGCCCAGGACACCGCCACCCTGGACGCCGATGAAGAAGATGGTGGTGAGTGCTGTACATGACTGTTCTTCGAACGTTTTCACTGATGGCGACTCATAGCTCCTACCCATGCAATGTTCATGGCCCCGCCCAATGCAACAAGCACTAGTGCAGAGTGGGCTGCCTGGGAACAGGTGCGCGAGGCCCAGCGCCTCAAGTTGAGCCCCATGCGTGCAAAGTAAGTTGATTGTCTTCGTCGTCTCGTCTTCGACGCTGACCACCATCAGATTCCTCGACAGTTTGAACATCGATGACGCCGATGACAATGTCACCACTCTTGACACAATGAAAGGCCACCTCGACCCTGTCGTATACAAGCGCTTGTCGCAGCTCGGCTACGTGAAGTTATGGAAACCGCAACGCAACCTGATTACAAGCTTGAAGAGAAATTCACACACCATCACCCATGGCTGCCCTGGAATGGGCAAGTCACTCGCATCAGCAATGTACGCTGTGAATGCAGTATCGGCCTGGTTCAACGAGCATCCCGAACAACGCCTGCGCCGACAGCTGCCCGCAATGCCACTGGTTGTAATCATTGTTCCCTCACACGAGCTCGGCGTCCAAGTTCTTCGCGATTGCCAGGACATTGCCTCTGGCAAAGACATCGATGTGAAGATCGCCGCTGCCTATGGCGGTGCCGACTACGCTGAGAACTACTGGATGATCGAAAAAGGCTGCGATATCCTCGTGGGCAGTCCAGGCCGCATCACACATCTCCTCGCTGATGGTGCAGTCGTTTTCTCTCGCACGACTACAATTATCGTGGATGAGAGCAACTCTCTCGTGTCGTCACAAAACACCCTGCGACACGTCAACATGATCTTGTATCATCCCTCCACAACGGAGCAAACAATGTTCCACTTCATCGATGTGGACTTCACGCAGGATGCCAGGGAGATTGTTTGCGGTCTGGCCCGCAATGCAAAGGCCAACAGCAACAGCATCCGCTGCACCACCTATGGCTTCTACGTGCGCGAGACCATTGACGTTGACGAGTGGTGGAGACGCATTCCTCTCCTCGAGAAGGAGGCCGAATGCGTCTCAATGGTAGTCGAGGAACAGTCGAAGTTTGACTCTCCAGACGCGACCATTCTGATCTTGGTGCAGCGCAAAGTTTCGACGACCGCCCTTGCAGACGCCCTAACAACTGCAGGTGTCGTGCGTGTGGCCGCCACCTCAAGCAACGAGTCTCAAATCAACCGTCAAAGCATACAAGACAGTTTGATTCGTGGAGATATCAAAGTCGTCGTCGCGACTTATGGTACCTTCTCTCGCGGCTTGAACATCCCCGGATTGGCTTTCATCATTCACTACGACGTGCCTGACAAGCTCTACATGTACAGCCACTCATCCGCCAGAGTGGGCAGAGATGGCGGCAGAGGCAAGATTGTCAATTTCGTCTCTACTGCACAGGACGCCGAGGTGATGCAGTCGTACATCGACAACTTCATGCGTGCCAAAGGCACCAGTCTGAAGGTCGACGACGAAACCATACCATGGGAAGACAAGAAGGCTGCTAGATTCGCCCGCGCCATGTATAACGCACGCGAACCTCAGCTGACCGTCGAGCAAGCCATCACCGAATGGAATGTGTATGAGGCCAAGACAGTCGTTCGCATGGCTGGTCGTGGTCGTTACGATGCTAGCGGCTGCGCTGCTCCTGAGATCGCTGTTCCTGAGATCGCTGTTCCTGAGATCGCTGTTCCTGACATCGCTGCTCCTGACATCGCTGCTCCTGACATCGCTGCTGTCGATGGCGCTGGCGGTGATCATGGCGGCGGTAACAACGGCCGTGGCCGTGGCCGTGGTCGTGGTAGCCGTGGTCGTGGTGGCCGTGGTCGTGGAGGTCATGGGGCCGCCATGCTTGATACTGTTGGTGGCGACAATGGCCGTGGACGTGGTCACGGTGGACGTGGTCGCGGTGGACGTGGTCGCGGTGGACGTGGTCGCGGTGGCCCTCGCAACAACAACTAGGGTAGATTCATCTTCGTGCTGCAGCTCTGACCACAAAAGTGGGAGATCTGGAGCATATGATGGATACTCCTCAGGTCATAGATGAAAAATGGGGAACAAGTAGCTAAGCAAGAATGGAAAAATTACGGATCGATGAAATACATGAGGAGCCAAACCAAGTGATATGGGTGACGTGTCTTGACGAGTCTGGTCTTATCTGAAGTGTGGCAACAGCAAGTATGGTGTGCTCGGTTGAGCGGTAGACGCGATCAATAGCAAGCTTGAATTGGTGGTAGGAAGGGACACTTGGGTGAGATTTTCAGATTGAGGTTGAGGATGAAGGAAGAAGGGAGAACGCACGGATGGGGATGCCGTAAGACCTGGACATCACGTCATCAAAGGTTGACATTTGAACCATATTGAAAGCGCGAGAAGTTTTCCCGAAAAGGCTAGTTTACCGTAAGGTCAGGTGATCGTTCTTGGAGACGGAAATCCGAGAAAAAATGCGTCTGCGAAAGTTCCTCTCTGATTGTCGTCAATAGGATTGTCGAATTTGGGATGGGAGAGCCATCGCGAAAGTATTCGTTATCCGGGGCTTAGTGACGCTTGGACCGATAGTGGGAGGACGGGCCGTCAAGACCGTTTACCCCAGTCCAACGCTGATCGGAATCTTCGAGGCGTTCAACAAGTTAGAAACGTCTTGCAGACATTCTATGAAGGTAGAATATACAGTGTATAACAGCTGCAAGTATGGTGGCGATAGCGCTGAATTGAACCAGACGGCTCGGGTTCTTGATTCAATGCTCCTCTTACTTTGTTACAAAGAACCTTACTTATACAACGGTCTTGACGACAGACTTGAGCGAGATAGGAACGCTGCCGATGAAGAATCGTATAGACAGGCTCTCTCAGCGTTAAGTCCGGTGATCTATAAGGTTCAATATCATCTGGATCGCTAGCCAGTCAAAATTGTGTCATCTTGAACTTCAAGGGTTGCAAAAAAGTACTCTAATATATGTAGCACCTAGTGCTGGCTTATGTTTGTATTTTAGGCCGGGAGCAATCCTAGAATGTGACAGAGAAGCAAGTTATCCTTCAGAAGATAGACCATAGCAAGGACGTGGCGAAGGGAAGAAGTTAGGCAGATTTGTCATAACGAAGTTTGCATTTGGTAAGTGCTAGAGACACCCTGTCCCTGCTTAGCCGAGTACATGATCGTGTACACTTTATGTCGTTTACAGCAGGTTGCTCGTAGCAAATCTCGATCGAGATTAAATGGCTAGTAATGTAGAGATAGGCTGCCGATATAGTCATTTTCTCTGCCATAGTACAGCTAGCGTATCTGTTGACACATGAACACAAGTTGATGGCTCCCACGACAGCGGTAGGGCCAAGGGCTGAAGGCCTTTCGCGTCTTAATGCCTTGGACACGACGGACTGATCTACCAATTCGGGAGCATATTCATAAAACAAGGATGCGTCGGGGTGGTGGACAGTCTGGCTAGCATCGTCCGAGACCATCGTGTAAGAGGTACATAGTCACGGTAGTTGTAAACATAGAACACGGATAACATGGAAGGGAGAGATAGTGACGTTTTCATCTATAGAGAACTTCGGTGATCTTGGGAGTGGGCCAGTATTTGGGGTGTCCAATGTCCTTTTGGTCTATGCCGTTTAGGAGAGCCTGGTGATACTCCCCCTCTTCTTTGCTGACTATTTCGCGATGTCTGCGAATTGGCGCGTAGTCGTGCGCGAAGCGGCATTCATCGAGTGGGCGTGGACAAGCCTTGCCGGAGAGAACGAAGCGGCAAGTAGGTCTAATGTGTACGAGCATACCGTGATGCGAGGGGAAAGGACATCCACCGAGCTGAGATACACATTAGCATACGGAGCCGAACAATGTGCAAGAGTCGATCATACAGTCTTGCTGAAGTCTGGACAGACGTGATAGAATGGACATGTACCAGACTCTTGGCGTTTGCATCGCATAGGGCGAAGAGTGCGGCCACAAGTCCTACCGACGATGGATGCAACGCTGTCATTCCAGACACAGTCGGTATCCCCATCATCTTCTGCGACGTATTGATCTCTTGTCCATTGTGGTTGAGCGTGAGCCTGAAAGACGAAATATGGTTCTGGTTCTTGCTCGGCCATGGACGTGGAGCCTGCGCATCTGCGGTGTTTGATCAAGGCAGCACAGACGGTGATATGATGCACCTGTAAACGTTCCACTTTTGTGGTCACGTCTAGATTCTGTGGCGCTGAAGGTTCAGCTTCGGCAGTCGACAACGGCTCGGATGGAAACGGCTCGAGAGGAGGCACGAACTGCGCGCCAGGCGGGGCATCTGGTTTGAGGTTCTTAGCAAAACGGGATTCCGAGCAGAATGTCAAGACTAGGCTCACCAGACATCGTTGCGGGACTTGCGCATAACTTTCGATGAGCAGTGGGCGTGTAGCTGCGACAGAGTGCTGATGGAGGAAAAGTCGATATTACAGTTGCGAAACACGCCGGAGAATGCCAAGGCCGACTTCGTGTGGAGCTTTGACCACTTGCCTGAGGTTTGAGGGCCTGAGGCTTGCGGAGATTCAGCATGTCTCGACCAAACAAGTAATTTCACAACAAGAGGTTGTCAACTTGTCAGGAAGCCAAACGGTAGCTCCGATATCTATCTTAAATAAGTTGCGTGGTTGTTGTGTGGTATCGCATGGGACTATTCGTTCAACTCTTGACGAGACAAGTCGCGACTTCTGTGTGTAATTATCAGCTCTACTGGCCACTATGCATGGCCTGGGAATCATTATGGCAATTTCACAAGACAGTCAAAAGCAGAATGGGCGGCTAAATCAAGCGGCAGTTGAACACGCAAGGGCAACAACCGAAGGTGAATGCTTGGAAGTCAAGTATGCAACATCTCCCGCTCGTCGCCTCTCTCGTTCTCATGGAGCGACTGACAATGGTCCCAGCCATTGTGCTCGACCGAATTGCTCTCCTCATACGATATAACACCTCATTATCTCAACACAACCGATTCGGGATAACTACAGACGTTGCGTGCGCAAAGCCGCTGAACAAGAAATGCCAGCGAGGGGACTTCAAACCCACCATCACCCGAGACCCCAGATGCCTGTCGACGAAGGCAGAGGGAGGCGCAGACGCAGCTGCCAAGGAAACTGGAAACGGAAGGAGTGCAAAAAGGAGAGGCAACGAACTGGGAGATGGAGATGGCAAAAGATCGAGAGGAACAGGGGTGGATTGGATAGCTGTCTCTTTTCAGAGGACAAAGAAATGCTCTGAGTCTCCAGAATAATATCTGAACATCAACTTGAGATGCTGATCACACGCAGAGGAAGATCCGCCTACACACGTACATGTGGTCAAAGCCATGGTTTCTTTTGGCGAACTGAGGTCTTACACACCAGAGGCCAGATCTAATGAGGCTCCGGTCCAAGTTGCTGTAGAAAATCTGTTTGCGTGTCCTTCTTACCTAGACGATAAAGCTGAGTACGAAGTCCTTTGCGGTGACTTAAGTCTTGAAACATTTCTACCACCATACTTCGGGCATGGCAGTCTATAACGATGGCTTTGTCGCACTTTCAGATCGCAAGAAAAGTGCCTGTGATTTCTAGGAGTTTCTAGTACCATTCTCCAAAGAGCTCTTTATGCTTTGCAAAAAGGGCTAAAGCTTCAGCCATGCTCACATGGGACACCTGCTTTTCCGGCAAAGATGTAAGAGCCGGCTTTTTTCCATGGCTGCGAGGGAGATGAACCAGAAGAGACGAACCAGGAGAGAGCAGGGGAACTCGATGGTGAGACCGAGGAACCCTTTCACATTCCTGGTACACGGTACGCCGAAGGCGATGTAGCAGGCGGCTTCACAAACGCACCATCGGTTTTGCGTTGAAGAGATGAAGGTGTCTATCAGTTCATAGAGTCCAGTACCATTGTTCAGAGAGCCGTTCATGCTCTGCAGAAATGGTCGGGGCTTCGGTCATGCTCATACGAGTCACTTGCTTGCTGTCGAGGAATCGAGAGCTGAATGGATTCAAGGAAGACGAAGTGGAAGCGATGGACGACGGGATAGGGAAGAGAGCAGAGGGATTGAATGGCGAGACCGAGAAAACTTAGCACGTTGATGGTGCGTGGTATACTGGGATAAAGCCTACGCCAGCACTCTCTTGCCGAGGCGACAATCTCAATCCTCGTGTTCGTTCAGCTGCCAACGATGCCGCTGTGGTATAACAGCTGTACTTGTGGTCTCGAGCACAAGTAGACGGGCGGCCAGCTAGTCAGCCTTTTGGTAAGAGCTGTACATCCTGTAAAACAACGGACCACGGCTGTGATCTGGATCGAGGCTGCCATGATTTATCAAACTCGCCAAGGGAACACCGTTCAATACACATCCACGATGACCAGGCAACTTAGAGTTCCGTGAGCAACTGCAGACATTATCTCAACTCTCATATGCATGTTCCAATGTCAAGATAGGGAGACTTCTCTGCGAGCTTGCGACAAGCACACCATACCAGGGACTTTGACAATTCATGGTCGGCGTGGAGGGTCCAATGTGCTCAGGTATAATTCAAAAATTGTCTTTGTGCCCGAGGCATGATCTGATTGGTAAAGGCAAGCATAGAATACACAGGCGCTGTGGGTTCTGGTAGGGACGTCTTACCAGCGAGGACCTGGTACTTACAGTTTTGGGTCACCTTGCTTGGATTCATTTCGTTAGCAAACTCGGCTCATCACTGCCTGTGCAGTACCTGATCTGTTCTACGCCAATGTTCCTCGATATGGTCGCCTTTCCTTGGACGGCTTTTGCGTTACCTCCCAGACCTTTCCTTATTAAATCATGTTTAGGAATCGAAGTGCTCATCGGGGTAAAAGTTGTAATAGCAATGCTATTGGCAGGAGTGGTCGTGTTTTCTCCAGCTCACTTCTCGTCTGGCAAGAGGCTGGTTCGATCTGTTTTCCTTTTGTTTTCGTCTTGAGATGGGCGTCTCATATTCCATAAAGTCGTGAGAGCGCTGCCTCTCTGGGTTGACTCGATCGAAGGTCCATCGGGCTCTTTCGAACACTTCCAAGCTCTGATTCTTGACCTCGATGATCTCTAGCAGCTCGTCAAGTGCAAGGTGGCTGTTTTGTCGTCATTTTTCTTTTACCAGACATCATGTTGATGATACTGTGTGTCATGCCATACTTGTGGGTCTTGGGAATGTACGACATGAAGCTGCGTAGCTACGCCGCGGAGAAAACTGGTTGTTTGACCGTAGACTCAAACGTGATTACCGCGCCAATAACAGGAGCTGCTGGTAACATTGAGGCCACACATGGTAACCTCCGGGCGATTGAACTGTCACTGCATTGCTCAATGACAACCTTCTGACTTTGTATGAGGTATTCTCGTTCAGTACCAGTCAAATGAAGTGATCAATACATCGCTGCCGGTTCAGTATGGGACGTGAATGTTAAGTGCTAGCCTACCTCTCACGAAGTGCTTGCTAGATCGGTTTCTGCAGTCATGAATGGTCATGCACACGGTTGGTGAAAGTTGTCGGATTTGGAGGGCTCATGTTCTTCCTGGTCACCAGTTTGCTCGCGTGTGCGAGGCACCTTGCGGTGGATGGTTGATCGGATGGGCTCGTCTGTGGTTGTGACGAACATCAAAAGATGCTGGAGCCGAGAAGTCTACTCAGACCTGCAAGCTGGATATGCATGGGAGTGGGCAGATGCGGTAAAGTTTGAGGAAGTACAATGAGGCTGTGAGGTGTATGTTAGCGGCAATGATGGCGCCTCCAATGTTGACAACTTACTCTAATCTTGTTGGCAAGGGAGAGAGAAAATATGGATTATAGAACCATTATTGTCAGATCCTTTTCATACTGGATAAGTAAAACGTCTGTGGCCAGTCTTCAAAGCATGAGCTTGGCAATAGAGGATTTGATGCAAGGAGTTGTGATTCAAGAGGGCTATCTAAAAGTACAGAATCGATGATGGTACAGAGGCTCTGGCGGTGAGCTTCAAGCAGAGAGAAGGCCAGAAAGTGCATCCCAGATCATGAGGAATGCGAGGAGGAAGGCAATGCCACGAAGACTGAGAAGAGGAAGAGCCTGAGGGCGAACCTCGGCATCAACCTCGGGGCGGACATCGCGACGGACTGGGTTACGCTGCAGACTCTCGCGGAGATGGGCCTGGTGGAGCACAACAGCGCGCTCGGTGTTCAAGGCTGCACTCTCTGCGTTCCAGTGAGCAAGAAGTCTTTCGCGCAGCAGTTCACGGGCGACGGGGTCTTCGAACTCGCGGCGAGAAGGGTCAACCAGAGCCCTAGCAGCGGGTGAGAGGCTGGCGAGGATACGTGCTCTGAGGATTGCCATCTGACGATTGGCAGGCGAAGCCATCTGCTGGGAGGAACGCTGAATACCCAAGTTGAGGATGTCTTGGGCGGCAGCAGAGAGTGCGTTCTGTCCAGAGATGACGGGGACATCCTGAGCGAGCTGAGCAGGAGCCTTACCCTTGGAGATGGGCTGAGCAGGAGCCTTCTCCTCAGACAAAGGTTGGGCAGGAGCCTTACCCTTGGAGACAGGCTGAGCAGGAGCCTTCTCCTC